GATCCGGCAGGGGAATTGGACTAGATGATCTTTTGAGGTCCCTTCCAATCTCCAGCATACTGTGATGGTTAAACTTCATAAGGTTGGCATCAGCCCACCTCACAAGCGTGTCCAGGTTCCTCTGGATGGCATTCCTTCCCTCCAGCCTATCAACCAAACCACACAGCTTGGTGGCATCGGCAAACTTGCTGAGGGTGCACTCAATCCCACTGTCCATGTCAGCGACGAAGATGTTAAACAAGACCGGTCCCAACACCAATCCCTGAGGGACACCACTCGTTACTGGTCTCCAGCCGGACACTGAGCCATTGACCACAACTCTTCGCTTGCGGCCCTCCAGCCAGTTCTTTATCCACCGAGTGGTCCATTCATCAAATTGATGTCTCTCCAATTTAGAGACAAGAATGTCGTGTGGGACAGTGTCGAACACTTTGCACAAGTCCAGGTAGATGACGTCAGCTGCTCTCTCCCTGTTCATCAGTTCCGTAGCCCCAAGGCCACCAAATTGGTCAGGCAGGATTTCCCCTTACTGAAGCCATGGTGGCTGTCACCAAGGTTTTGGAGCAGATTCTCCTGGAAGGCACGCTAAGGCACATGAAAAACAACAAGGTGCTTGGTAGCACCAAGTGATTAAGCAGCAATTAAGTGGATGCAGCAGGCCACAATTACCTTTGCCTTGACAAATGTGGCTAGCTTCTGTTTTATCCACTACAACATTTCCAACACAGTAAATGTATCACCCTGTCACCATATCCTGGAAGGATCTGGATAAAGAAAACACAAAGAAACTCAGGAAGACCACCAGAGGTGCTCATATTTCTGAAGCATACCCATTTCACAGCTAAAGATAATATGAACCACTTTTTTTTTTTTTTCTCTTATAATCTATATGGGAGCTGAACACTTGGATAAGTGTGGCTGCAAATAGCATTACTCCTCGCATGTGTATCTTTGGAGAGAGTTAAACCCCCGTAATTAGCAAGGCTTTCTGGTGTACATTCACAGTTGTAAAATGTTTTAGCTGGATGTGAGTTCTGTTTTATTAATGCTCAGTAATGATTACATAATTTCAAATTCACTGTATTCCTTTTTCTAAGTTGTTATTTTGTGATGAATAGCTCCAGCCTCTGGGAGGGAATATCTTGTGATTTCAGAGTCCCAGATTGCTATATGCTGAATGCTCTTCCCAGTGTCCTGACAAGGGAGTCCTGATAACTCCAGAAGTCAGTATGCAAAGTACAGCCATAAATTCAGAGGCATTATTCACAGGCAGGAAACTGACACCTACAGAACCAAAATATGTGAAACATGATTTTGACAAAGAGAAGTAGCAGAGAGCTGGGGATGGAGAGTATGCTGGGGACAGAGAGGGTAGACAGAGCCATGGGCTATGCTGAAGTTTAGTGCAATGGTTTGGATATCCAGGGTATGCATTAAATTTGAGCATGACAGAAGAGGAAGAAAGGCTTAGGAAATAATGATTTTGACAAGAGGAGCTCTGTGGGGTACAGTTGCCTAAATCAAAACAGCAAAATTTACTTCAATCAGAAGGACAATATCCATGAAGAATTCAAGAGTACATGGCTAGCAACAGAAACTGTTTCCAGCCTCTGAGTTTCCTTCCCACACAAAAATGCCAGCTATGCTACTGTAATGGCAAAGGCATTGCTAACACATTAAAAGTAGAGATCAGTCCTTTCTCTGTGTATCCATATGATGTCATGCTCGTCAGACACATTGTTTTATCTCATTTCTGAGGCTCCAAAATAACTTCTGGGGAAAGCAATGTGTGGTGGAGAAGGCGGGGTGAAAGAAGGGAAGAATACTTCTCATCCATCTCAGGTGGAGAAGATTACAAGGACAGAATAATGGTCTCAAAGGTAATACAGTTAGTAATACTTTTTGGTGGGCTGTCCAAAGAAAGTATAACTCAGCTACTCTGACTTAACAGATTTATTAAAAAAAAAAGTAGGTTGAAGTAACAAGAACAGATAGGCAGCTGTGAAGCAAAGCTGACTCAATCTTATTTTTCACCAGCAGCTGACATTTTGTTTTTATGCAGACATCTCCTTACATCACCTTTGCTGTTACAGTTCCCTGTGAATATACCAGGGTCTCAAGACTGAAATGGCACATACCATCAGCTAGACAAAACCAGCAAAGGAATGGTGGTGGTCATGAGGAGATCATGAGATGCTGTGCTACTCAGTTTCATATTTCCAGTTGTTATATGCTGCTGAGTGAGGATTTCAGCTGTTGACTTAGATCCCCAAGACAGGATGTAATCAGACTTTGCTCAGATGCTTTTTGTATTTGACTTTGAAGAAGCCCTTTTCTCCCATACCTGAAGCTCATCTCATTATATTCACCCAGCTTTATCTGTGGGAAAAGGAATCCAAAGATTTGATCTGAGAAAAGCAAGGGACAAATTAGGTGATGTTTTTAGTTTTTACTGCCAGGTTCATTGCACTAGAAGTTAACTTAAAAATACCTGCAGCCATCTCAATACTTTTCTTTAGGAAACTAATTCTGTGCATAATACTGAAAATCAGAAAATATTTTAAAGTGGTTTTAAACCAGACTTTTCAGAAAATACTACATGCAGCTGATCTTTTTATTAGAGATTCTAAATAGAATCTAAATCGAATAGGAGTGCAGTTGAGAGGCTTTCCATGTTCTTTCCTCTACAGCTCTTTCCAGAAATACATGCCCTATACAATCAATATAGGTAATTATTCTTCAAAAAAAATGTAGCTTGTTTCACCTCAATTTCTAGTCCATTTAAACAAATTATATTTTCTTTTATCTTTTGTGACTAGCAATTGTAGGTGGTATGTGTTCATCTGATGAAGTGTTCATGCTGATGAAGATACTGGGGCCACCTCACTTCTCCACAGTACCATTTTGTGAGCTCAGCAAACACATCTGCACTGAAATTAGAAGCTAATATGGGAAAAGACAGAATGAAATAAATATAGCAGGTAATTTTGTCTCTTGACTTAGCTCCCCAAGATGATGTTCAATTGCCTCTTTGCAGACTGTATCTTTCTTGTAAGATGCATTTGAACTGTCTGAGCTCCAGATGAACTTGATGTAAGCAAGCTCCATCGAAAAGCTGCACAGCTTTGCTTGCATAACACTCTAGCCAGATCTGCCTATCAAAAGGTTGCAGCCGTATGTCTACAGCCAGGGCCTGACTTTAAAACCAGACTTCTCAATTAGTATTCCGTGTGTAGTAATTTTACTTTGGGGCAAATTTAACAGTGTGCTTAACTCTCACATGGTAACTGGGCAAACCACTGGTTAATGCATGTGAAGCCATGTTAGTAACATCCTATTTTAAAGCACTTTCTTAGTGTCTCTCCAGCTGATTAATTAAAAAAACATGTTAAAGAAAATTGTAAGAGTCCTAAGAAAACTGCAATACATGATGTACCAACTAATTCTCAGCAAAACGCAGTATTTGTAAAACATCTTTTACCATAACTGTCATAACTGCATAAACCTTTTCTCCAGTGTATTTTTTATTAGGGTTTCCTGCAATCATATCAACATACAAAACAATCAGGATGTTGACATATAGAAATGTGAAATTCACTGTACAAAGATAAGGCTCAAGTTACAGGTATATTTTCCCCTTAGTCTCCATTAAATAAAACAGGTTTTAATTCTTCCCAGAGTTCTGTTTACAAATGTTAGACAAATCACAAAATATATCTCAAGTACATACATTTTACAATATAATCCAAACACAGACAGAAATACACAATACTGTACCTATAGATGCTCCATAATCCAAGTCCGTCATCCTCACCAATAAAATACAAGACTGCTACTCTCTCTGAATACACCCAACCATATCCTTCTGCATGTAATACGTGGTCCTGGCCTTTACATTATAGGATTCTCATGCTTTTCATTTAAATTAGTTTGACAGACCAGAAAGTACCAGGAAGGAAGTGAAGAACTTCAAAAGGCCAGGCCTGAATATATGCACATGATTAGTAAAGGCAGGCACATGTGCACACATACACTTGCATTTAACCCTACATAAAACTTCACTGCACTGCACATTTTTTGAGATTATGTTCTCATGCAACTCAGCTATTTTCTGATAGAGTTAAATCAAGCATAACAATACGCCTACTTTTGGAATGCTGTAATTTACAGGGACAAGACTGTATTTTAGAGCATAGGCTCTAACTTTCTTTTTTTTTCTTTTTTTTCTTTTTTTTTGGTATAATTACCAGACTTACACTACTCCATACACAGGAGCATGTATGGAACCATGTCTCTATAATCCAGCAGGATGACAGTTCTCACAGCCTTTACCACTTGAAATACCTTTTCTGACACCTTTGTTTACACATAATGTGAGTAATTTCACATTAAGGTCTAACATCTACTTTAGTTCACTCTGCATTTCTAGGCTGAATGATTATTACCTCAAGGGAAAGGAACATTTAGCTGCAAGTAGCACAAGAAGAAATACACAATCTTATCAATAATGATTCTGGGGAAGAGACTAGCAAGGACAAACACAGTCAAGAGGAAAAAAAAGTGTTTAATTTAGCATTTGTTGGTTGGGAAATGAATAGGAATCTGAAAGTTTTCAACTGAGAAAGGGAACTCCTAAGCCCTGTAACTGTTTTTTTCCTTTAAAAACTGGAGAAGATTAGAAGGTAAGGATAAATTCTCCAAAGAAATTGCCATTTTCAAACTTGATATTTGCAAAGGCTTACATGAGAAAACCAAGCAAAACTGGTTCTCTGATACTGAAATGAAAGGAATTTATTCAGTAGGAATTAGAGATGCAGTTACAATGTGTTAAATGCACATCTAATAAAATAGCATAAATATGTCTCCAATTCATAAATACCTAAGCAGAAGAAAGACTGTGAGGCCAAAATCAGAGTTCCCTATTTTAAATATGAAATACATCAGGGAAAGGAAGGCTAAAAGCGTTCTTTTCTTAAATACAACCTCTGTGGCATATTGGAGGGCCACCAAACATTCTCAGCACTGACAGGAATTACTTAAGCATATTCTCTAAGCTATATTGGAATACCTTTAGTTATACAAATCCATGTTACATGAAACAGCATTAGATACGTAACTGGATTTGTAATAACAAGGAAAGAGGGTAAGTATAGTACTGTAATATATGAAACGAAGCATATTCGTATGCACAGAAAACATGTCTTAGAGATTAGTAATGATGGGCATCAAGGATTAAGATGCATCTTTTACTTAAAGCCTTTAATGGTGAGTCAGTAGAATACTCTTATGTCAACTGTACAGCCTAATGCTTTGCTTTCAAAAAGGAATATAAAACGTGTTCCTTTTCCTCTTTTTCTCTATAATTTTTAAAAGTAGGTCACTCACCTACTAATTTAAGTGAGGGCTTTGGCTTTTTTTCTTCCTACTTACTATTATCTACTTTGATGTTACCTAAAATAATCTACATTTAGACTGAACTCACTCTTTTCCAAAATGTCTCTATCTTGTAGAGACTTTCTACAGCACTGATACTATGTAAGACAACCTGACAGCTAAGAGGAAGTACCATTACTTTCCTTTCTGCTCACTTCCATAAGCTTTACAACTGTGCCTTTCAGAAATTCTTCTGCGTACTTGGTGTCCTTTCACCTCCCCCAGGCAGCCCCTACTGAACTTGAGTGAACTTTCTATGTATTTCCCAAACCAGACTCTTTCTTTATAGACCTATATTAAACTTACTCATTCTGCAGCCGCTAGTTTAAAAACAAGTCATTGCTAAAACACTAAAAACATCCCACGTTTCCTTGTGCATTTTTCTTACCAACTTGTACATTTAAATAACATCTGAAGTTGTCTTTTGCTAAAAAATTACCAAAATATTTTAAACATGTAAAATTCTAAAAAAACCAAACAAACAGAAAAACAAACCAAAAACAAAAACCCAGCATAAACATTGCTTGTATAGGCATTGGTTAGAAGACTGCTGCACTAAGGAGTATATTCAAAACAGTTTTTCTTTCAGTTTCATTGGATTTAGTGTCATGGACTGAAAGATTATGGACAACGAAACTTATTGTGACCCCATCTTACATGATGTAATAGATGAGCAGGAAGTCTGAAATGCAATTAGAATAAATCTTCCTTTTGGTTACTGAAACCTGACCATAAAAGCCTGTAGCTAAACAGGAAATTTAACAATGCAAAGAGAACTTAAGAACTTGAAAAATCTATGAGTTTATCCATGTATGGATATGAAGACAGCTACTGTCTGGAACAGGTACTGTTTTCAGGGGCATTATGGAAAGCTGGCACTAACTGAAATTTTGAATATAGCCCTTAGTTTTACCATATTTATTTAAAATTTAAAAGCTGCCCAGCATGTCACGAATGAAGTTTATTTTGCAAGCCACCCACTGCCTAAGGGGGCAGTAATACTCAATATGAAACTGCTGAAACTCAGGTGTCTGACGAATTTCATGGAGAAAAGAGATTTGAAGGTCCGACTCCAAGAGAACAAGGAGAAGAGGGAACACAAACAGTAACAGTCCAAGGCCTACAAAGAGAAGTCTGGAGAAACTTTTCACAAAGGCATTCACCTCTATGTTGCCCATTAGAAAGTCATAGCTCCACCTAAGCGCTCTGCGAGCTTCTTTCAGTTCTTCCTCCTCTGCAATCAAAAATGCATTTTCATCTGCTTCCAGTTCCTCAAATGAATCTGTATCATCTTTCTCATACTCTACTCTTGGAGAGGTATCGAAGAGCATGTCAATCTCATCATCAACAGGAGTGGGCAGCAAGCTGGCACTAGGATTGTATACCAGTTCTGAGATGGTTAAAGGTTCTTCTTTCATTTTTTCTTCCTGTTCAATGGCAAGATCAACATTCTCCCCAGTGTCCTTAACTGGAGAGCTTGAGGTCACTCGGACTGAAATCTCATCTTCCCTTGGCAGTTGGACACCTGAAAGAAAGAGACAAAAATAGTGATCCTAAATTTTTGCCCTAAAAAAACCTCACCAAAACCCTCAGCCTTCCAGTAGCATCTAACAGGGATTGGAAAGAAGATTCTGCAGTCATTTTGCATATCGAAACCAGACCATGCACGGTTTGTAAAAACTGGAAAAAGCCTTTAGAAAAGTACCAGAGGAGAGGAACTTCTTTACAACACTGCAGTATACCAGAGCTGCTTGACTTTGTCTGATACAGCTACTGCTAATAACAGTGTAACACAAAGGAGAAAACAGAACAGCTAATTTTGTACTGGCAATCAGACTTCTGATATAAATGAATACCTAGTACATCTGAACCGGTACTATTTGATGGCCAATAATAAGAAAAACAACAACAACCCACCTTTATTTCTTTGAGGTGAATGAGGAGAAAGTGGTATGGTTGGGAAGTGATAATGGCTGAGGTTGGGAATTTTTAATAGAGCATGAAATTAGAAAGAGACAGTAGATTAGCATTATAAATTCACATTAGAAGTTGAGAAGATAAAAGAAGAGGAAGGCAGACACACAGTATTGGGATTAGATATCATTGAAACAGAATGAAAATGTCTCATCACTTTAAAAAGCTCTCTCTCTTCATGTCTTGTTTTAGTTCCAGTCATCTTTCTACTCTTCATACTTACAGTCTCTTTTCCCTCTCCTTTAAATCTTTCTCTTTCCCTTACAGAAGAGTCTTTCTTAGCCTTACTGGAATGCTTATTTCTTATGACTCCTCTCTCTGCCCAAGTTCTCTCAAAACTCACTCCCCTTTTTCCAGTCTAATACTAACAGCAGTTAAGCCTGCACAGAAGTCTAGCTGCTTTGTAGCTACATCAACACTGCAGAGACCGCTGCTAGTTGTCAGCTGCAGGAATGGAACAGACAAGAGTCAAGTACAGAGCTCAAACAAATTGATGGGAAAAACAGTTTTAAATTCGTCCCATGTCTAATGCTCATTACCATCATCAGATGCCAACTATCTATGGTCAGAAGGAACAGACCATGCACATTATCATGTGCAACAGTAATATATAGTAACATGTGGAGACAGTGTTCTCACAGGAAAAGGCATAATTGGTACATAAACTGAATAATCCTGAAAGATACAGCAAGGCCGTGAGAGGCCCGAGGAAGCTTAACCAAGCAAGGTAAGAAGAAGCTGTAATTCACCGAGTTAATGAGAACTGTGGACTGTTGGCAAGCTTTCGAGTTCAAGTTCTCACACCTGTGCTTAACCAATTATGTGTTAGTTGCTAAGGGTCTTCAAGACATGTATCCAATCATAATATGCCAAATCACTGTAAGTGCCTGTAAGAAATGGTATATAAGGAATTAAAGCTTTGTAATAAATTGGCATTCGCTGATCACATTGATCGTTCCTGCGCTGTCCATGACTCCCGTGTTGACAGTAACACTTGGTACTTATTATTTTGTGATGTTCCGCATCTCTTCATTCTTTTGTAATGGCTAATCCAAATGCAGCATGCAGATAAAGATTGAGTAGGTAAAACCAATATAATGTTACATGACTTGTCCAACAAACAACTTGGGAAATTCACGTCAGTGGACTATTTATAATTCAAATCAGGCTAATTTTTTTATATCAGTGAAAGATCCGTAAAAGTGAACTGACACCATCAAAGATTCTTTTCAGTTTTAATGCTGCAAATAATTGAGGTTCAGAGACTTTAAAACAATGTGGAATACAAGAAAATGTATTATTACAGAAAAGCAAGTGATCAGAAAAGAAGTACACCTCCAGTGCTAATTAGGCTAGACATAATGGTTTTCAGTGTGAAGTAAATGACTCTCAGCAAGCTCTATGAAAGTTTTCTATTAAAAGATGGAAAATATACAAAAAAAATAAACAAAAGGCCCATTATAGTTATATTGAGATGAGGAAAATAAAGCATGACTCGAACCTTAAGATGCATCACTGCTCCGTAGACATATAACACAGGGGAAAAATGGAAAAGCGAAAATCCGTATCATAAAGACAGCTACAATATGGGAAAATACATAATTTAGATCATTTTGGATCATAATTCTAAGCTACAATTTTAAATAGTAACTCAATTGCAACTGACCAAAATTCTGCAAAGAATCTCACTTCGAAATCAGAAGCATTTTCACGTTTTCTTGATAATGTCACTGATTTTTAGATACTTTTCACTCCACTGAGATTAACTTTGTTGCTGAAACCTGATTTCCTTCTATTTGACTAGATATAAAAATAATATTCTTGTGTCACTCGCTAATGATCATTAGACCAGCAGCAGACATGACTACATTTCAGTGAAATCGGGTGATACAAACCCTACCGTGGACTTTCTCAATATTACAAATTTTGCATTTCTTGAATGACAAGGTCTTACCACCTCCAGTTTAAATTTCTATCTATTTTTTTTTTCCTTTTTGTTATCTACCATAACTACCATACTCAGGGCAGGACATATCCATTAAAATCTCAGTTTCATAACTGATACCAGATCTCTGAACCACCAGGCCAGTAGACCTGCCCTAGGCCAGACACAAGCACATGATCACATTTCTGCCAGATCCCAAAATACTCAGTATTTGCTGAAAAATCTGTCAATACAAAGTTAAACAAGCAGATCAATATTTTGTGAAAAAGGGCTCCTGTACTAGGAGTCACTTGTTACGACATTTTTTCATGGAAATACCTACCATAATAGCCTGTTGTATGTCAGAGTGCCTGACAGTAACCACAAAATCCTCTATGCAACCTTTGAAGCTCTGTTTGTTAGCATGCTCTCCACACACTGAAAAGAGTAAGTAAGGTACTTGCTAAGTTATCCCAGACTTCCCAAAAATTGGGTTAGCAATGACTTTTTAATATCTGGTAACTTTAAAATCATACTGAACTTGAAATGCCAGTAAATACAAGATAGACTATGCAACATATTACAGATACTTCTAAAATGCATTAACAATTATAGAAAACCTGCACACTAACTTACTTACATTTAATCACTCCTTGAATAAGCTAGCTTGGTCCTTACCTTACAAGACAACTCCCTGGATCCCCTTCCTAGAGCATGCTTTTATGTGTCATGTTACATTCATTACAGAAAACCTCTTCATTACAGAATATAATCCTCGGGAAGCACTTCCCTACTCCCCTTCAGTAGAGCACATTAACCACCAAAATTAACTTTTCCTTTTAAGTCTTCAAAATGTCCCCAACAGATCTCTTGCTCTGTAATTTGCTTCCTGTTCTCTGAGAGATACGTTGGCCACACCTCCAGGTGTGGTATCACATTCTGGCTATATCAACCAAAAAATGACCATTTCTCCTCTGAATAAGCCACCTAGTAAAGCTAAACTTGGAAGACAACTGTTTTTCTTCCTGGGTTAGTTCTCTGGTGGTTTTTCTTCCTGAAATGGGTTGACAGATGTTTTTGCAAATGCAGCACATTAGCAGGGAATGATCCTTTCACTGTGACTTAGCCAGCAGATCTGCATAGATGAATTAAACCTTGTCCTCAATAAAATGCAAATGTCTCCTTATTAGCTTAATTTGACTGCCCAGCTAACAATTCCTTGCCTCAAGTACTCTGTCCTTTTCTATCACAGCCATTTCAGACATTCTACCTATTTCAGCATGAAACACATTTTGTGCTGGAATTTATTGTCTACACCAGTCTTTGCCATTAACAAACATATCTGCAACACTCATCAAGAGGAGGATACAAACTGATTGAAAGTAGGTACAACAGTGTAGGACCACTAAGAGGTGAGAAGAGATTTGGGTGGATCTTTCTCCAAAGCATGGTGTAATAGCAAGTAATGCTGGATCATCAAACCATACTTGGAGTCATCTGAGGATGCAACTCATGCTATCTTAAAACATAAAAGCCAAAATTCTTAAATTCCAGAGCACAACATTAAGCATCTACACATATCTTTAAATTTACAAGGACTACAATTTGATTTTCAAATGTGCTTTTCACTTTCTCTTGAGTAAAAGGTAAGTTGATCCACTTGCTCAGGGCGCTTCAATATGGATTAAAGGACCTAATTTTAACCACCCAAATTTGAGAATCCTGTCTGTTGGCTTATCTATACCTGCTTAGATGCAAGGTCAGTAACATATCTTCATCATGTTTCTCATCATAAAGAGGACAGCTGCAGATACTGCAGAGAAAGGTCACCCCAATTTATGGTTCTTGAGCCTTCTCTCCTTCTCCAGAGTAAATTCAAACATGCATAAAATACATAGTGAACATAAATAAGAAAGATCATATTAACTTTCATTAAAACTGTATTTTTCTCAAGTAACTGACAAACTTTTAACTTTATGATTAACCTGTAGACAGAAGGCAGGAGAGGAACCCTTTCAGATCAGGGGTTTTAAAAATGGAATGTGTCAAAGTTCCAAAGCGTATATTAACCTTATAGTTCCCTATGTAGTTTGAGCAGATAATAAGTCAGCTATCTGAAGCAATACAACCAGGTTGAGACAAAAGGAATAGATCCCCAATATCTTCCAATGGAAAAAGAGAACATAAAAGCTAAAGCAAGTCGAAAGCCAATGTCCTTTAATTACTCTACAACACTGGTGCAAATCCTTTACTCCTATCCATACATAACAATTATTTTGCTACCACCCTTATAGGAATAATGTATAATCTTTTAGGCTATATTTTGAAATGCCTACTAGTTCTGTAGTAATAATTAAAATTTGTATTGTGTTTAGATTTAAAGCACAATGACTTGAGTATTACATTTAATCAAGAAGAACTTCCTTTCATTCTTCATTTTATATTTTTACAGGCACTTACATTCCACAGGTCAGAATCTTTTAATACATATTATCGAAATATCAAGTAAATGAGCTCAATTTTATTTCTTACGTTATACACCCCTAGCAAAAATTTGCTACACTTTTCTGGCAACTGGACAAAATTTACAGAGACAGACAGTTTTCACTGTGCTAGCCAAAACTCAG